CACAGAGGGAAAACTGGACTCTGGATTCCTCCCTAGGCCACACCCTCCAGTGATGGCCTGCTCTGGCTTTGACACCCATGGTCGAAATCTGGAGGCATTCTCCATGTAGTCCTTTCTCTTACCTCCCCACCCAAGTGCTCCTGGCTTCCCCTCCTAGTCTCCTCTCCAGTTTATCCATTTGTCTGCATCTCCCCCACAGATACATGGGACAGCACCGTCAGTTCTTTCACAAATGATGGAGCAGCTCCTACTTCTGCTCTTCCTGCCATGACCATTCATCTTCTACAAAGCAGCCAGGGTTTCTACAACATAAATCAAATCATGGCATGTCCCTGCTTAAAAGCCAATGATTTCCTTTTCTCAGGCTAAAACCCAAACTCTCTCCATTGGTCTACATGATCTGACCCCTTCCCACTCCTTCATCTTCATCTACTGCCTATTCTTTACCCAAAGTCATAGTCTTCAAGCTCTTTCAGGCCATAAAGCTCTTTCCACCTCCAGCCCTTTGCACATCTGCCTGGAACCACCTCCTGGGTGGTCCACCTCCTGGCAGAGATACCTCCTGGCTCTCCTTCTTTCAAGGCCAACATAACACGCATTTCCTTGGAGAGATGCTCTATGAACAACCTTTTTAGAAGTAGGTTCCTTTTGTTAATCTCAATATCTTTCTGTTTTCCATGAAAGCAATGATAAAAATAACGATTCCATTCATATTTTTAATTCTATGTGATCTGTTTTCCTCAACCAGATTGTAAGATTCACAGAGTAGCAATCACATCTTCTTCATCATTGTTTTCTCACTATCTAAACAAGAATTTAACCACTTGATGCAAGAGTGGACAAGGAAGTAAAAATGATTGAATGAATGAGTAAATGAATGAAAGAACAGTCTCAGTAGCCAATGGCAGGAGGAGGAGATATTAGTCACAGGAGGTCTAGGCTGAATTAAAAGCAGGAGGGGTAAAGGAAAGCCTCCACTCTGCAGACAAGCCAGGATGTTGGTGGAGAAGACGAAGAGCCCTGGGATCCTTCTGTGACTTCTTTCACAGCCACAGGATTCCTCTTGCCCCGGGGCAAGCTCAGGCCCAGTGTCTAGACTCTGTCTCTTCAGGGAAAGCAAGAAAGCATCAACTTTCAGGCCACAATAACACACACCTCTTCCCAATTCTCCCTGCAGGGAGGCACACAGGGAGTTCCCAGCCTCTAGCACTGCTCTCCTGTGTACAAAAGCCCTTCAGGGCCAAGCGCTCTGCGGCACACACTCGCCCTCGGTAACATGGGCCACGTGCTGGGGGCGCAGAGCTACCATTTTTCATTTTGAACAGGATGTATCTACTGGCATCACAGCCCCATGCCAATACTTGTTAATGCCCACATCTGCATTTTGAGGGATGAGGACCTAAAAATTTGCATGTGTTTTCAATCTAAAATGAAGTTTTCCTTTCTAGTGATTTAAGAAATAAAAATGACCTTGTGCTCTATGTCCACCCAATTACGAGAGTTCACAGTGAACGCAGGAACATTCAAACGTCAAGGCCGACGTGGCAATAGTTCTCACAAGGTGACTTGATTTGGTCCCTCACTGCCCCACCTCATTAAATGTTCATAATCAAGGTGCTCTTGGGGGTGGGGGTGGAGGGCGGGGGCGCAAGGAAAGTACCTCCATTCAATGGAAATGAAGAGTTATTTGCCGACACAAATAATTGCCACATCAAGTAGATTTTCCCGAATTAAAATCATGGGGAATTAAGTATCTGCTTTCCCGTATTTTGCAGAGCAAGATAGAAAAGGCAGTGAGGGCTCCGGGAGCACATTTTCATGATCAGAAGTGGGGGGCGGAGGACAGTGTTTGAATATGCATCTCGGGGAGGCCCACGAGGGCAACCACATGCCGGAAATGTGATCCCATGGGCTCTCTGTAGGAAGATCATGACAGTAAGGCAGGCCAAAGGTCAATTCCAGCCTCCAGAAAAGAGGAGTAGGGATGAGCCAACAGGGAGGGGAATAGAGAGAACTTGGAGGCAGAGTATATGGTGGATCTTCACAGCACCGACTATGTAATTTAGAATGCCAAGTGCAAAATGAGATTGTCGGCCCCCTCGATCAAACATTATTAAGAATTTCACAACAGTGACAATTTCACAGCAGGGAGCGGGTTCTGTAGACTACACAGATAACGCCCGGGTGGGGCGTGAGTTTGGAGTGGTGGAGGGAGGCCAGCTCTAGGGGCTGTCAGAACTCATTAGAAAAACCAACTTTCCCCTCGGAAAACAGCACCCCTGAATGATCACAGTGAGAGAAATAAATCGTGTCTCGGCCAGAAGTGGCAAAAAAGGGAGGGGCTGGCAGGGTGGCTACACTAATTCTGATTTGCTGTCATTTTTGGAGCGACTTTTCCTAAATTATGATTCATTTTAGCACCAAAACACCAGATACTTCAGATACTATTATAAGCATATTGCTGATGCTTTAGCAAAGTAGCATCTTGTACTGTTTCTTTTATAAGGGCCATAAATCACGATATTCAAAACAGTTAATTTTTAATGTGCCACTATTATCCATCCTCAGTTGTAAATTTAACGTCTCCTCGGGCCCCACAGATTGTAATGTGACTCAGAACGCGCAACGGCTGTTCAAAATAGAAGGTTCCCCAGCATCTCATTATTTCAGTCCCTAAGATACGGTTTTAAAAGCCTGAAGTTATCTGAGTAAACTTGTTTAAGGGAGCCATAAAGAAAGATAAGTAGTTTTCCTCAGAAGCCTATAAAGTTTATTACAACATGTTAAAGGGGGATTACATATTGACTAATTTTCAGAAGACATTTGTTTTCTGGGGTTCAGGGCGTTTGGGGAAATTCATGAGCAGAGCTAGGTCTTCTATGGGCGTTGGCACGAGTTCCCCCTGAGGATGACAGCACAGTTCCCATCTCAGGGATGGCAGGGTGGATGCCATGAATCTTACGAAAGAGCAATAAAAATCTTTATGATTCAGGAAAGACAGAAATGCAGCCTCCTGCCCTAAGCTCTATGATGCAGAAGCAGCAGCATCATAGAAATGCTCCAAGTAGGACCCACACTTCTCACGCCAACCCCCCAAACTCGTCGAGCCTTCCTCTGCCTACCCCATCCGTGCATGTGGTAGGCAGATTTGACACCTTTGCTTTGTAATATTACAAAACCTTTCCTTCTCATTTAACATTGTTTTAGGTCAATTTATTCTTTATTTTTTAAATATTTTTTTTATTGATTTCAGAGAGGAAAAGAGAGGAGACAGAGATAGAAAGATCAATGATGAGAGAGAATCATTGATCGGCTGCCTCCTGCATGCCCCCCATTGGGGATCCAGCCCACAACCCAGGCATGTGCCCTGACCGGGAATGGAACCATAACCTCCTGGTTCATAAAGTGGACGTTCAACCTCTGAGCCATGCCAGCCAGGCCGATTTATTCTTTTATTAGCTTTTCTAGGTGAGTAATTCTGATATTTTTCTTAAAGTTTCCCCTAGACACAGGGAGGATTTCTCTGGTTTCCCCAAGTACTCACACTGACAAGCTTCCATTTGGAGCCACTTTGCATGGAAAAGACACAATTCTGGTACCATTCCCCCCTTTACCCAGGAAAAGGAGAAGCAAGGAGATGCTCTGATGTCACTAGGAAGAAGGTTCTATTGGTGGCAAAAAGATCCAGAAGGTGTTACATCTGTACTTCCCAGAAAGCTACTGTATCTGAAAATTAACCCCCATGTCTTTCCTGCAGGACCAGAGGAAGTGGCCTGACTCATGGGTGGGACCTAAGATAGCTTCAAACCAAGCAATGAAACACTCTGAAGTAAACTGTCAGCCACGGGCAAAACATAGCAGCAATTGTTTTAAAATTCACCCCAAGCCCCACTGCCATGAAATAGGAAGCAAGACTTAAGGAAGGGACGCCTGTTAAGTTATCCCAGAGAAATGCCTCTCTAGTCACAGACCTGGTGGTGCTCCAGCCCTGTGACAGCTCGTGTTTGTCCAGGAAAACGAACTACACATTCAGTACTCTTTGACCATAAAAAAATCACCATGGCACACAGTCTACCACATGCCTACCATATTCCATGTCACCATAGGTATATGCAACTCCAGGCAGCTGTGGCTTGGTGTTAAGCAGCCTGCTGTGTCCTAGAGAGATGTGAGTCCCAGCAGCAAATGTCACTAGAGTTCAATGTCCCGGTTATAACTGTGGCAATACATGCACCACCATTCCATTATAATGCATATAGGACAGAAATAGAGGGTGGGTTCTTCATAGCTAAAAGCCAACCTTTAAAAGAGCAAAACATCCTAAAAAATGCAATGCGTGAAATTTGTAATGCAAAGCTCCGTAGAAGCGCAATTGTAAAAAAGAGCAACAGATATGGCACTAACGAGACCTGTCAACATTATTTCTATTCTAATTCATTCAAAGGTACAGTTACCCATCCACCATTACTATGCCTTGATCCTTGCGTTCTCTTCAGAACTACCAGAGAAGAGGTAGCACAATCCATCAAATGGGCTTCTTAGAGATGACAATTTCAGCTCCATAAAAATATATGTAGTTTTGTTTTCCTTATTCCTTGTCAAACATTTGACACAGCCAGAGAGATGTGAGAGTCACACCACACTGGCAGATCTGGCAAAAGCAAACAGTGCTGGAGAATTGTGACAATTTCCGAGCCCACAGCCATGCTTTTAAAAAGTGTGTATAAATTCTAGCAAGGGCAGAGTTTACATCTTAAATAACACAGAAACATTGGAATCGTGCTTGACCCAGCCCCAACAAGGCAGAGCAATCACGTGGTTTCAGGGTGGCAGGGGTTGGGGGTGGGTAGGAAGGAGAGGGCTCTCAGGGATGGTCACAGAACACAGAAGCAAACAGAGGGCACGGTCACAGACATCAGCAAGCACGATTGATCACGCACACAATACAACACCAGAATGCAATCTTTTAAAGAAAAACGATATAAAAGATGGTTTCTCACCCCTCAAAACAAAACTGGAACTTTGGTTTACAGGCCCGGCTATGCCCATATGCCCTCCTCGTCATCCTGCGGCCGGCCCGGGGGAGGTGCACGGAGAGGGGGGGAGCACGGAATGAAAGAAGAGAAGGTTAGTTACACCGTGATGCCCTGGAAAGGCACACCGATCTTCACTTTGCTTTTTCATCTTAAAGCACCAGAGAAAAAAGAAATCCATAGTAACTTCAGTTCCACATCACCGACTTGTCAAATACATAACTGAGTTTTGTGTCTATGGCAACCCCCACACAAAAACATTCTGCCCACCCAGCTCTGACTCTGTGTCAAGATTGGATTAGAAGATTAAAATTAGTCTACATTAGCAGATGATTATTTTTTTGGGAAAGCATGCCATCGGAATTGCATATGCCTTAAGGAGTAGATTAAACCTGTTAAGTAAGCAGAGAAGTAATTACAGTCATCAAATACCCTTAATTTCTCTTAAAGCATAAAGTATCAATAACGGTTGAAGAAGAATTTTTTATTAAAAAGATGTACTTGGGTGGAACAACTTTGGTAGCATGCGATAGTTCACTCTGGCTCAGACCTGCTGTGGACTCCACTCCTCAGGTTCTGTTCTGCTCTCAGCATGAAAGAGGATGTGCATGCCACGGAATGATTATCCATTTGCAACCAAATAAGTTTCAAAGAGAAGAGTAAACTTTCAATTCGGTACAATGCTTGCAGCAAGGAAATTTGTTTAACTTAAAATTGTATTCAACTGTGGATAAACGGAAACTTATTTGGTCTGAATTCTTGTTGTTGAAAACTTTTCCAGAATGGCTCTGGCCACGTTCCCCACTTGGTTAAGTGGCAGATAGGCAAGGAAGTTTAATCTTTGAAGACAGAAGTGTATTCAAAGTAAGACCAGCATCACAAGGTCTATTTTGCACAAGAGTTCTCACTGTTCCCTGCAAGGATCAAGAGTGTAGACAGCCCAGCAGTTCAGCTCCTGTCGCACATGCACTTTGGGGAGCTGTGTCTTTTAACAGGTCCCTGATGAAACCAGGTCTTGCCAGGGCGTGCTTCTTGGTTTTAAAAACCAGGACTAGAAAAAAAATAACTTGGAATATTTTCTCACTATTTGGAACCTTACTGCTTAGGTTTTTGCAATATTAGGTTGAATCATCTGAAAATGCCAATATTTGGCCATTTTTTATCTAGAAAAACAGCAATTTCATACAGTTCAATCTAATCTTGCCAATAGGCAAAGGTATTTTTGCATCTATTCAGAGATTTAAATCTGTGGTCTTGAACTGAATTTGCATATAATTTATTTCCTTTCTATTTTTTCATATTTTATTTTATGCATTTAAAAATATTACTTGGAGAAGAGGTTCAGAGAGTTCACCAGACTGCCAAAATGGTCTATGGACCATAAAGGGTTCAGAATCCCCACCTGATATGAGTCCATTAGGAGATTTGCACGCAGTCAGAACTGCATAATTTGGTATGGATTTGCACTGGACAGTTTAGATAGGAATGTTCTAGTAAGAAAATAAAAGGTACAGTTAATCATTTTTAGCTGGGTCTTCTCATGTAAAATTGACCTTGTTTGTCACTATGCAGTCTAGTAACTACTCTTGACAAAAAAAAAAAAAAAAAAAAAATCCCCTTTTTTCTACATTACTTGAGAAAAGTGTGGTTTTTACATCCATTAAATGTCCTTTCAGTTCCTGTAGAAAAGCAAAGTTGGTCTCTCTTTTTTATGCTAATAAAGAAGGAAACTCTACAGCACCTACAAATGGGTTGCCAGGGGTCTAGCAACCCCTTGAACTTCAAAGCAGAACTTGTGGGGATGTGTGGAAGTGTAGTTCTCTGGATGGAGGCTTTCATCACAAAGTTCCTGAGCCCAGGAGTTACTGCTGTAGGGAAATTCCAGGCCCAGAGAGATGCTACGATTTGCCAAAGTCAGAAAAAAACGCTTTCCCTCTAAGGCAGCCTGCAGCCTCTCCTGACTGCTTCTCAAAGACTTAAAATCACTCCCCTTGCAGAGCAGTTTATTTCATTTTGCGTTTAAAATCCAAGAGCATGTATACATTCAGTTTGTTTCAAATCCATCCCCACAGGGTTTCAAATTTTTAAAAAAGAAGCAAGGAAGAAAAGAGGAAAGCCACTGTCACCAAAATCGACCGCTATTTTCTTAACAGTGAAATGTGGTCGAATGCAAATCACTTCTAGCAAATTAAATACATTAAAAAGTGGTAATTAATTATGATTGAATGAGACAGGAGTTGTAGCTTGAAAATATACACTGCCAATATCACTACTGTGCCTCGTCCACCGTAGGGATAAAAAGGAGCTCCCAGATGTCGAGGGTTATTAAAAACCAGATGTTGAGATCGACGTCTTGTATGCTGGTGAATAACGTAAAGAAATATGACAGTCCAATATAAACGTTGCTAACGTTTAACATGGCAGAAATGTGGATAAATTCCTTTACTGGACTTGTAATATTATGCTTTTTTCCCCTCAAGTTTTTAGTTTCTAAGGTTTAAAAGTTTTTTAAAAGAAAATACAAAGGGAAGTGGTGGCCATTCCTGCTCTCTCTAATCTTCAAAGCTTCGACATGAACTGACCCTAATCACCGAGTCATCTGGGTCAGAGCAAGTGTCTGCTTGGGGAATAAAAATGAAAACGCAGGAGCTAACCAGAGAGGAAGCACCAAGGAGTTCCAAACACTCGCAGCTGTTAGACTCCTGCGCTGCCTGCGTCTCCGGATGAACTATTCATTTACTCAGCAGCCTTACCGCAGAGAATGTAAATTCGGGGACCAAAATTAAGAAGCAGATAGGGATCACTCGATCACTAACTTTATGCCAAGTTGTCTAGCGGTACTTGGAGTTTGAAAGTGTGTCTCCCAGGCCTGGGAGAGTCTGTCTCCTTTCCTGGCACTGGTTGTTCCAGATGCTGCCTGTGTCCACTCCCTCGTGTGTCCTTCCTGAGTGATGGCTATGCCAGGAGCTGCCAAAGTTTCCGGATGGAAAGAGAGCCTCTAGTCCATCAGTCATCCAAGCGCCTTTGTCCACAGCATCTGGGTTGGAAACATCCGAGGTGGGCTGAACCCCAGAGCGCAGTGACCACACATCAGCAAATTTTGAAGAGAGAGGAAGCTTAACTATCAAATAACCTCCGGATGTATCTCTGGCTCCAGGAGTGATATGGGGCCTTGATGGCCATCCTGCACTCCCAAAGGCTGGGCCCTAAAGGGATTCTCCAAATTCTGAGATAAAACAAAATTCCTCACGAGGTGGGCCACTCACTGGGCCATGCTGATGACAAGATCTAAGGGCAAAGGACTGAGTCATCGCCGACAGGACAGGAGACTCACTGTTAAGGGGGGGGCATTTATTAGCCCAGACAAAAAGCTTGGGAAGGAACTCTATAATCTGGCATGATAGATGGCCTGGTGTAAACCTTTAATCTATTTTGAAGCTTTAGGTGCATCCAGCAGGCAAGCCCCAGCCATCACTGGATATTTAAAAAAAAACAACACCACAACAACCCCACAAAAACCCAAAACCTGGCAATTCTCTTTGACTTGATAGCCAGCTTTTTTTCTTGAAATCAGGCAATGAGGTTCCCGATGGGGACCTTACTGTCACACCTGTTCTATCTGGAAATGAGAGTGAAATTATGGAAGTGTCACCTTCAAATCAGCACACTGCCCCTCTAAGAGTTAGCTGCTATTTCTATCAGGAGGAGATGTGTCCTGGTTATAACAGGGACAATCCCCAGGCCCACCCCTGCCCCTAGTTCAATTCAGGGCTTCTCTGACACTTCCTGAAAATTTAAAAACCCAGGACTCTGCAGACTTCAGCTGCAGGAGTCATGAAAGCAGGACCATGGTGTGGGATTTAAGATGTGCCCAGCACCTGGGTGGGACCAACCCCTCCTGGCATATCCAACTGAAGGTGTGGCCACAGCTGGGGAAGACAGGTGCATGTGAAAAGGAAAACAGGGGCCCTGATACTCTTCAGGGCACTAGTAAGTTTTCCTGCAGAGTCAAGTCCAAATCTTCCCTGTGAAGACCTCCCATTTGTGTCTTTCACCTCTCCTGCCTCCTAGAATGCTTAGTCCTTGGATGGGTGCCTTTGTACAGGTGATGAGGTCAGAAATGGTCATGAACTCTTAGGATTTGTATTCATTACAGCCTCTGGGGCCCATTTGCAGACAAAGTCTCCCCAAATAATAGGAAAATCCTGTCCAAGATTAAATACCTGATGGGTGCTCTGTCTAAATATAACGTTAGCTTATCTCTGACTTTGACTAGAAATGAGCCGGCAGGTATCAGCACCTGCTCCAGGTTAGAGGCAGTGTGAGAGCTTTCTGTGCTGGTTCCCTGTCTCACCACAGCTCCAGGGCAGGCTCTCCCTGCAGACGTGGAAAGGCTCAGGCAGAGAGTTCTGGTAGCTGTGGCGCCAGGGTCAAATGCCAATCTGTCTGACCACAAAGGTTTACCCTCTCTTATAGGGGAGCCGTGAAGATCCAGAAAGAAGAGCTCATTTTGACCTCGGGCTTTTGTGGGTTCTCTGGGCTCAGCTCTCAAGTACTTTGTACTCTGCAGGTCTCTCTCCAAGCTGATGAAGGTTCCTGTTGGAGCTGGATGGTAGAATTTAGGGTGGTCCCTCTGGCTCTTGGAAGAAAAAGCACATGTTCCTTAAATGGTCATGTCATTGGCACCGAAGCAAACGTCAAGGTCTGAGGGAAAAGGCAGCACCTGCAGTCCCTTCACACTGCCTCTCCATGTCTCAGACCTGGGAACTTAGCAAACATTTCCGAGTGACGGAGGGTTCAGGCTCGATTCTGGCTTGCTGTCTGACTCCACTCCTCTGAGGGAGCGCTCCCTGGATCCCAGAGCTCCTTGGGCTTCCCAAGACCGTGTTTCCTTGTTCCTCCGCACAAGCCACTGTACAGCCACATCCCTGGCTTATTCTTCTAATCCCAGTTGTGAAAGCTGAGCACCTCTGGCTGAGGGGGAACTAGACGGAGACATCATATTGTACAGGCACGCGGGGTGCTTCTCAGGT